GATCTTCATCGGGCGGTTCAAAATTCTTATCACTATCTGAATTTTAATCTTTTTTTCCAGAAATTAGATCGTAATGAAATGGTGGATGTGTGTACTAAAAAATTGGGCGCACAAAAAAAAAAAAAAGAAACCTAAAATATGAAATGACCAAAATACTCCTAAAAATGATGGTGGTAATTTGGTCATTTTATATTATTGAAAGTAATTGTTTTATATTTTTATATGGTGCGCAAAAGTGTTAGGTATATACACCCAAAATTTCATCTTAATTTAATTTATAAAAAAAAGATTAAAATTAAAATAGTGATATAAATTTTGAACCACCCGATGAAGATCTGACGGCTGGGAGCCAATAGGTTATGCTATTCATTATAGCTAATAGCTTAGGAAATATTTTTCCATCTATATATCTATATCTACATATGTATATATAGACCTTTGTCTCACCTGTCTTAGCTTGTGCCGCCCATTAACACATGGTTGATAGATCGAGCCTCACGATTACAACATTGTGGAAGCCCTTAAAACTAATATATTTACAAGTTATACCCACTTCTCGCAAATACATTGCAAGGGCATCTTGGTTAGACTGTGTTCCCTTAACCAAAATAAAGTGTCACCTCAAATCCTTGTCCGTCATTCTGCTCTATCAAGGGATCGACTACACAAATCTTGGTCCGCCATTCTGCTCTATCAAGGGTCATACCCTTAATGAGGCATTTCGCACTTACCAGGGTTCTGGTACAACACGTTGCTTATGGGGTAACACCCTAGCATAAGAAAATAGGCTTTCGAGCCGTGGTTCATTGGGCACACTAGCTGCGAAGAAAACAACGTGCGGGCTAGTGAACTTAGGCTTTCAAGCCAGTGAAGACAAGTAGGCTTTCAAGCTGTAGTTTGCTGGGTAGATAAACAGACCAACGAATGCACTCTGGCTTTCAATGTAGTTTATTGGGTGCACTAGCTGCGAAGAAAACTATGTGCACGCTAACGCACGTAGGCTTTTGAGCTAGCGAATGCACATAGGCTTTCGAGCTGCAGTTTAATAGGCGCAACGTAGATTCATGATTCATGGAGAGTTTTGGCAAAGTTTTATATTGACTGCCTACTTACACAACCACCTTCTTTACCGGGCTTGGGATGGGATAAGGGAAAGTTCAAGGTCCTCACCCTTCTTAGATGCACATATATATATATGTCTCTTTTTTCTAGACTCGAACAAGTTACTGAGCAAGTGCCTTGACTGAGGCGAGTTCTGGTACCTTGGATCATAGTTGTTGGGATTGGGAGAGGGAGATCATGAAAGACTAGAAGATCCCTATGGTTGGGAGGGCCGTCCGTACATTGCATATGTTAAGGACCGAGATCATCAAGTGCTAGGGATCTTGATTCCAACCTTTTGGGGACGTCGCATGAACCTTAAAGAGTACATATAGTCCAACATATATACTATAGTGTAATATAGATACACTATAACGAGTGATTTCTTTATTTATAACCAACAAACAATGCAACTATGCTCAAAGAAAATCATCGGTTCGAAAGTTATCTTAGTCTTTAAGATAGGATCAAGATCCCTAACAATGGGAATCGAGATCCCAAAATTAAAAATTGAGATCCCTTGAAGATCTTTCCTGAAGTGTCGGAGTGAAATGCCATAATGGGTTTGCCTCCTAAGTTGGGAGATCCTAGCAACAATGGGTCAAATTAGTTCGGCTAGTAAGATTTAGATTCCTTTCCTTCCCCGAAGACATGTATTCTAGATCAATTGTACCAGAGTACAAACATGAGCTGTCTCCACATCATATCTCTCTCATACATGATACTTACATGCAATGGCAAAGCGCAATCCCCTAAACCCCACATGTCAAATATCTCATCCTAAATCTTATTAGTTCCTAACAATTGTTGCATGCTATAGCAACTCATCAGATGATGCTCATAGGGTCTTCCCTCAATCACTAGAGGTCAAAATTAACACTCCTTGTACAATGTCAATCCCATCCTTAATAACCCACTACATGCTTGGAAACAAGAGAAAATTTTCAGCGCCCATCAAATATCCCTAAAAAAGACGAGAGAGATGTTGAGCCCCCATTAACTTCAAATAAATAAAAAAAAAGGGATGCTGAGCCCCCATTAACTCATCTACAAACATCAAAGTTAAGCTTCAAACAGCAACATGCAACAGGAACCAGGGATCCTGTTTGTCGTTAGCTCTTATGCATGAAAATCCATGATTGAATGACTGAAACCAATGCCATTGCGATGTCATTTCACCAATTCACAACTACCATATACATACTCATGCCATCCCTCCAAAAAAAATTTCTAAGATCTACCTCCAGAATTTCACATGTTTCCACTTAAAAGAAGTCTTATATATATGAGAAAGCATAAACATCCCAAAGGGTAGTATTTGTGACTCAACTAGAAAGGAAGAACCAACACCATCGAACATGAAAGCAGTTCCACACAGATTTCAGAAATTGGTTTCAAAATGTATAAAACATTGGAATCGGAATATACAACTTTCATTAGTCATGCAGTCAAATATGTAATGATTTTTTAAAAAGTGCACTCGAACATAACAACAAGAAACAACATTAATAAAAACAGAAAGACTAACAACAATAAACAACCCAAAAAAATAAAAAGGGAACAATAACTTAAGAACTACCAACACCATAGCAGAAAATTATCCAGACACAAAAAAAAATTAGAAAAAAAGAAAAAAGAGATAGAATCTGTAACCATTTCAGTAAAGAGTGTATTAGATAGAAGTAAAGCACAAGTTTGTCAAGGGACATGCAATGAAGCCTAACCAGCCAAATGCATGTCCACATGATGGCACAATCTTACTCAAATGTCTACTAACCAAAATCCAAATAAAGAAAAAGCAACAAAAAAACAAATTCCCCAAAATGTCTAACATTATGAAAACCTCAACATGATTCTCAAGAGGCATCAGCAGGAGGTTGGGTGACCCCAAACCTCACCAAGTAGTTCTCTAGCGAATCAGCCGAGCAAACTTGGTACTTCACCTCACCAGAGGGTGATGGCAAGTATATTTTAGCCAACTCGAGCTTCTCCGAAGTCAAGCTCGTGCTATCCATCGTCTTGCTGAGAACCTTGAGCGCGAGCTGAACCGCCTCCTCTGTATTGATCTCATCCTTATACTCCTGTTTTAGCATTGATTGGGCAGCTTGGTTATTGGCCCCAATTGCTGCAGCTTTCCAACCACCATAGTTTCCACTTGGGTCACTCATATACAATTGAAACCCAAAGTTCTTATCCCAACCTGCAAACAGAAATGACACCCCAAATGGTCGAAGCCCACCGAATTGAGTATAACCTTGCTTTGTATCACACAAAGATTGAACCAACTGCTCAACTGGCATTGGCTCTTGATATGCGTATGTGTACCGTTGGGCTTGAACCCGAGCAGTGTTGATCAAAATATTGGCATCAGACATGATTCCAGCTACCGCACAAGCGAGGTGGTCATCTATTTTGTACATTTTTTCAGTGGATTTTGAGGTTTGAAGGAGTTTAGAGGTAACCTTTTTCTCTCCCACTAAGACAACTCCATCTGTGGATAAGATCCCAATTGCTGTTCCTGCATTTCCAATGGCTTCCATGGCATATTCGACCTGGTAAAGTCGACCTTCTGGCGAGAAAATAGTGGTCCTGCTATCATATCTCCGAGACATTTTTGTGTAATTTGCTGGAAAAGACAAAAAAGTGAACCATTAACTATCCATCTTCCTGATTAAGAAACTGGGGCTTTGATTTCCTTCTTGATCAGTAAGTAAGGTTTCCATTTCCAACTATGAATTAAAAACCTGGGTTTACCCCAATAGAAAAATTAGTAATTTTTCTCAAGGATTAGCAGCGATTTGGACGACAATCCATTCCTCACTCAAACACAAGGAAACAACAGTCCGTTAACGAATTTCGGTTTCTCATAAAAGAATTTGGTTCATTTATCTCGAGGATTGGAAAGGGAAAAATTGGGTCAGAATCCCCCATTCTGGATAAAGAAACTAGGGTTCTAACAGAAAAAGGGACTTTGATATCCAACAATCAGTTAACTAACTTGGGCCAGTACATCAGAAATAAAACTGTGTTTTTGCTTATGGAGATTGAAAAGGACTGAGGTTTTTTAATAACCTCGAACAACAGAGAGAACACATTCTCAATGGTCTTATAGGAATGGGTTATCACCACAAAACAGAAAGAAATACTCTAGAACTCGCAAAACAAAAATAAATCAGAAGAATACAATGATTCTCTCCAGAAACTGATCTGAGAGAGAGAGAGAGACACTAATTTACTCTGCAATTTAGACATAAATAACATACAAAAGAATGGAGATACATTGAAAGATAAACGGAAACCCTAAATCTAGTTAATAGGCATGAGAGCGAAAGAATGATGATGTTAGGAGAGATGAACTTACCTCCAAGTTTTGCTCGGCTTCCTTAGAGAGAGAGAGAGAGAGAGAGAGAGAGATAGTACGTACGAGGGCGGTACGTTAACGTTCGACGTACGAGAGACGTATACTACCTTTCCCCGTTAGTACTAACTAGTCGCCGACCGCCGCCGTCCTCC